AGAAGGCATAGTGGGGGAGGAGAGGAAGGCATAGTGGGGGAGGAGAGGGAGAAGGCATAGTGGGGGAGGAGAGGGAGAAGGCATAGGGGGGAGAGGGAGAAGGCATAGTGGGGGAGGAGAGGGAGAAGGCATAGTGGGGGAGGAGAGGAGGACAACGCATAGTGGGGGAGGAGAGGGAGAAGGCATGGGGGAGTAGAGGGAGAAGGCATAGTGGAGGAGGTGGAGAGTAAGGTTGAGCATGAAGGCAGTTATGTGAGCTGTTTTATTGAGCAATACCGAGGCTTTCTGCCTTATTAGAAATGGCTTTACAATCAGGGATGAGGAATGCTGAGTAACAGGAATGAGGGGAGGGAGAGAGGCTGAGTAGCTGGGATGAGGACGGAGAAGCTGAGATGTCCCCTCTATTATGAGTGAGAGACAGAGACTGGGAGAAGAGACGAGCGCGAGAGAGAACAGAGAGAGAGAGAGAGGATGAGGAGAGCGAGAGAGAGAGAGGAGAGAGACGACGAGAGATGAGAAAGAAAGATATAAAGCTGACATGCCAGTTGGTGAATCATTGCGAGAATTAAGCCAAGAGAGAGCGAAGATTAGAGAGAGGGAGGGAGGAGAAGAGAAGAGACAGAGAGAAAAAGAGAGGGCGAGAGAGAGAGAAGACGAGAGAGAGAGAGAGAGAGAGATGTAGAGTCAGAGAGAGAGAATTGAGAAAGGGAGAGAAGAGAGAGGAAAGAGATGAGAATAGAGAGAGAGATGAGAGAGAGATGAGAGCGAGAGTAGAAAGAGAGAGAGACAGAGAGAGATTGAGACGAGAGATGAGAGAGAGATGAGATGAGACAGAGAGATGTGAGGGACGGGGAGATGATGAGATGTGAAATGACGCTGGCGTCAGGAGCTGGCAGAGAGCGGTGTTAGGCACTACTAGACACCGCCCCTGGTGAACTACACCCACAGATAGCTACTACCTACTCACGGCGCCGCCGGGTTATAACTGATAAAAGCGATTGAAATACAGCGGGAAGCATTCATCGTTTTCTTTCATTATTTCATACGTTATGCGCGTGCATTGGCCGTTTCTTCTGTGATGACATTACGGGTCCTGGGTCGAACATGCGTATTACGTGAGGTCTGAATCGGAGCTAATCTAATGTATCTGCTCCCTGATCTAATGTAACGGAGTCGCCCGGAGTGCGTGCGTGCGTGTGTGCTGCGTGTCTGTACGTGTACGTGCGTGTGTGTTTGCCATTATGCGTGCGTTGTGCTGTGCGTGTGTGCGGGTGTACCTTGTGTGCGTTTGTGCGTGTATGTTACGTGTGCGTGCCCTGCGTGTGTTTTGTCGTGCGTGATGCATTGCGTGTGCTGTCGTTGCGTTTGTTCTGCGTGCGTGGTACGTGGAGTGTGTTGGTGCGTTGCGCGATATATGGTACAATAGAGTCGTCGACTGGTCTCGGCGATGTCTATATAAATTACCCATCACTTAGAAACCTTTTCTACCTCCCCCTGCGACCGAATCATGATGTGTCATGCTTTGCTGCTGTGGTGCTGGTGGTGCGGTAGGTGTGGTGTGCTGCTGCTGCTTGGTGCAGGGGTCGGTGGTTGCGTGCTGCTGCGCTGCTGGTGTGGTGGTGGTGCCGTGGTTGCTGCTGCCTGCTGGTTGCAGTGGTATGGTGGTGGTGCTGTGCTGTGGCTGCTGCGTGGTGGTGTGTGGTGGTGCTGCTGCTGCCTGCTGCTGTGTGGTGGTGGTGTGGTGGTTGTGGTGGTGGTGGTGGTGGTGGTTGGTGTGTGCTGCTGCTTGCTGCTGTCTGCTTGGTGGGTGTGTGTGCTGCTGCTGCTGCTGCAGGTGGTGGTGGTGGTGGTGGTGGTGGTGGTGGGTGGTGGTGGTGGCTGCTGCTGCTGTCTGCTGCTGGTTGGTGTGCGTGGTGGTGGGTGGTGGTGGTGGTGTGGTGGGTGGTGGTGGTGCCTGCTGCTTGCTGCTGGCTGGTGGTGGTGCTGCCTGCCTGCCTGCTGCCACGGTGAGTGGTGGTGGTGGGTGGTGTTGGGGAGGGGGGGGCTGGTGTGGTGTGGGTGTGGGTGGGTTGGGGTGCTTGTGCTGCTGTCCTGCTGCTGGGTGGGTGCGTGGTGGCTGCTCTGCTTGCAGGGTTGTGTGGTGGGGTGGTGCTGTGGTTGCTGGCTGGGTCAGGGGGTGGTGGGGTGGGGCTGTGTGGTGGCTGCTGCTGCTGCTGCGTGCTGCCTGCTGCTGGGTGGGTGGGGGGTGGTGGTGGTGGGTGGTCGGTGGGTGCGTCGGGGTTGGGTGGGGGGTTGGTGGTCGGTTGTTGGTTTGTCGTACGCCATAGGTGCGCTGGCTGTGGTGGTGGTGGTAGTTGGTGGTGGGTTGGTGGTGGTCGGTGGTGCTCCTGCCTGCTGGTGGTGGTGGTGGGGGAATGGTTTGGTGCTGTCCTGTTGCTGCTGGTGGTGGTGGGGTGGCGTGGTGGTGGTTGGTTGCTGCTGCTGCTGCTGGTGGTGGGTCTGGCGGTGGGGGTGGTGTGGTGCTGCTGCTGCTGCTGCTGCTGGTGGTGGTGGTGGTGGTGTGATGCCGGTGCAGTGATACAGTGAGTGAGTCCGTCCGTCTCTCTCACATTCATTTAGCATATAGAAGCGCAAATATCATGCAGGATTATGTCCCAACAGAAGATTGGATGGACGGACGGACGGACGGATGACGGGGTTGATGGATGGGTGGATGGGTGGATGGATGGATGGATGAATGGATGGATGTATGGATGAATGGATGGATGGATGGATGGATGAATGGATGGGTGGATGGGTGGATGAATGGATGGATTGATGGATGGA